AACCTCCTGAACCCCCTAAACCCTTGAAACCCTAAGCCCTAAACCCTAGAAACCCTAAACAACCCTAAGCCCTAAGCCCTAGCCCTAAACCGCCTAAACCCTAAGCCCTAAACCCCAAACCCTAAACCCTAAACCCTAAACCCGAAACCCTAAACCCTAAACCCTAGCCCTAAACCCTAAACCCACTGCCAAGGCAACGCTCTGCCGCTGAGGAGATGATGGCCAGGCCTAGTATAGGGGTCGGAATAATCATTCCTTAGGGTTTAGGGTTTAGGGCTTAAGGTTTAGGGTTTAGGTTTCAATGACCCCCCAAAACCCTACTCTAATTCATCAGGCCGCTGTTTACCGAGAGCCGCTTGAGTTGCGCTAGCTGCTGTGCAGGATTCTCCTACTGTGGGCACTCCAGGGATACTGGCTGGATTCTCTGCTCACCCCCCAATCCCCAAACCCTAAACCCTAAACCCTAAATCTTGAGGTGTATGGCCTTTGCCGAAGAGAAGGCCAAAGCGTCTTCCAAGGCTGCCCCTGTGCGGATATGGCTTGTGGTGGCGTTTTGTTCTTCCTAAACCCCAAGCCCCAAGCCCCAAGCCCCAAGCCCCAAGCCCCAAACCCTAAACCCTAAACCCTAAACCCTAAACCCTAAACCCTAAACCCTAAACCCTAAAACCCTAAACCCTAAACCCTAAACCCTAAAACTTTGATCACGAAACCTTAAGCCCATTGCGCCCCAAACTCTGAACTCCCTTGGTCCGAAACCTTAAAATCCGTACCCCGTAAACCCCAAATCCCAAACCCGAAATCCTAAATCCTACACCCGCAACCGTAAAGCCTAAACCCTAAACATCCTGAACCCTGTTGGGATCATTCTGCACGGAGACTCAAGGTTTCAGAGCCGGGAGTGGACATTTAGGGGTTTTTGCAGGTTCCTAGTCGTGCATTTGAGAATGAGACGAGTGTAGGGTTTAGGTTTATGGTTTGGGGGTCAGGGTCTTCCAAGAAGCAGTCAGGGGAAAGATTCCAGGGCTAGGGCTCAGGGTACTTCGCTAATCCGCACAACCTGTTCAAACACATTTAAGGCCAACTGGCCCCCAAACCCGAAACCCTAAACCCTCAAACTCCCTTAAAACCGCTAAAGCACCCTCAAACCCAAAAACTCCTCCCCGCAGAGCCCTAAAGCCTTAAAACCGCAAACCTACCCTCAACCCCTAAAATTCCCCCCAAAGCCGGGAAAACTCAAGACCCTAGACTCCAAACCCTAAACCCTAAACCCTAAGCCCTAAGCCCTAAACCCTAAACCCTAAACCCTAAACCCTAAAGCCTAAACCCTAAAGCCTAAACCTTAAACCCTAAACCCTAAAGCCTAAACCCTAAACCCTAACCCCTAAACCCTAAACCCTAAACCCAAAGCCCTAAACCCAAAGCCCTGGAGCCCCCAAAAGCTGCAGACTCGGCGGGCAATGCCCGATTGGACGGAGCCACCACCACCTCCAGAGGTGCAGTTTAGGGTTTAGGGTTTAGGGTTTAGGGTTTAAGGTTTAGGGTTTAGGGTTTAGGGTTTAGGGTTTAGGGCTTCGGGTTTAGGGCTTGGTTCTGAGGGTTGAGGGTTTCGAAGCTTAGAGGTTTAGGGGTTTGGGGGTTTAGACTGGTTTAGAAGGGTTTAGGGGTTAGGGTGTAGGGTTTGGGGGTTTCGGGGTTTAGGGTTGAAGGGTTTAGGGGTTTAAGGGTTTCGGGTTTAGGGTTTAAGGGCTCGAGGGCTTTGGGTTTTCGTGGTTGTGGGGATTGAGGTGTTTAGGGACTGAGGGCTCGAGGGTTTTGCAGGTTTACGGTTTAAGTTCAAGGGCTTTGTTTGGGGTTACCCTAAACCTTAATCCCTAAACCCAAAACCCTAAACCCTTAGGCTTGTGGGTTAGGGTGGTAGAGTTTCAGACTTTCAGGGTCGAGGGTTCTAGTGTTTTGGGTGCAAGGGTCTCTGAGGGTTCAGGTTTGGCGCCCAATCCTTCCACTTGAACAGCTATGTTCTGGCGTTCACATCGTTCGTTCCCTGGTAGCCCAGTGGTACCCTCCATTTTTTTATGGGTTCCTTTGTACAGTAACCAACCCAAGAAAGGGTGCCCTTATGAATATGGTCAATGGGCTACTAAGATTCCCTCAAAGATCTGAACCTCAGCCAGCCAGTCAACGGTTCCACTACCTGGCCAACCCCATTGCTTGCCAGAGTGTCACTCTCCCCTAAACCCTAAACCCCAAACCCCAAACCCTAAAACCCTAAACCCTAAACCCTAAACCCTAAACCCTGAACCCTGAAACCTAAACCCTAAACCCTGAAGTAGGGCTGGCACAAAGTCCTCACACGCACCTCGGTGAAGTGTCAAGAGACTTCAACCAGCCCCAAACTCCGCAGAAGCACGGAAGAAGCGTCCAAACCCAGAGTAGCTCGAAATCCCTGGACTGCGGTTGAGGGTTTAGGGTTTAGGGTTTAGGGTTTAGGGACCCCTAAGCCCTGTAAGTCCCTCCAAGACTTGGACCATGTTCGGGAGCTTCGCAGGAGCCTCCGCCCAGCATGGAGAGCAAAGTGCAAGAGCCGCCACCAGCGCCCTTGGATCAGGCACTGGCAAGGGTTTAGGGTTTAGGGTTTAGGGTTTAGGGTTTAGGGTTTAGGGTTTAGGGTTTAGGGTTTAGGGTTTAGGGTTTAGGGTTTAGGGTTTAGGGTTTAGGGTTTAGGGTTTAGGGTTTGTTGCCGTAAATCCTAACTCTAAGCTTTAGGTTCGAATCCCAAAACCCAAAATCCTAAATCCTAAGCCCTACACCCTAAACCCTAAACCCTAAACCCTAAACCCTAAGCCCTAAACCCTAAACCCTAAACCCTAAACCCTAAACCCGCAACCCGAACCCTAAACCCTAAACCCTAAAGGGCTCAGGGTTTGGGGGCTTTGGTTTTGGGTCCAGGGTCTGAGTTTCAAGGCGCAGCGCGCCTCCCGGTTCCAGGGTTCCAGGGTTCATCGTTCAGGGTTGAAAGAGTTTAGGGTTTAGGGTTTAGGGTTTAGGGTTTAGGGTTTAGAGTTTAGAGTTTAGGGTTTAGGGGTTTGGGGTTTAGGGTTTAGGAAGGATTGAAGCCTGCAAGATGCTTTGCAGCGGCATGGGTGCTGACGGAGTCTGCGTCAACCCCAAGCAACCCTCGCCCCACAGCCCCCGATGATCCGGAAACTCGAAATGCTGGCTGCAGGTTTTGTGTTCGGAGTTCTGGCTGTACTGGTTTTTGGAAGAGAAAATTGCCTGAGAGAGCGAGCGAGAGAGCGAGCTAGACCGACAGCGAGAGAGCGAGAGAGCGAGAGAGCGAGCTAGAGCGAGCTAGAGCGAGCTAGAGCGAGAGAGCGAGAGAGCGAGAGAGAGAGAGAGAGAGAGACAAGAGATGTTGGCATCCATTTTTTGTGCTCGGGCAATACACTTCGGTTCTTTTGCGTGGATGAACGGTGCTTTTGATTCTAATTTCGTTCGTGGGTCTCACTAAATGCGCCCTGCGTCGGTCGTATTCGTATTCGCATTCGTGTTCGTGTTCGTATTCGTGTTCGTATTCGTATTTTCGTATTTTCGTATTTTCGTATTTTCGTATTTTCGTATTTTCGTGTTTTCGTATTTTTCGTATGTTTCGTGTTTTTCGTATTTTCGTGTTTTCGTATTTTCGTATTTTCGTATTTTCGTATTTTCGTATTTTCGTATTTTCGTATTTTCGTATATTCGTATATTCGTATATTGGTATATTCGGAAATTCTAACGTTCGTATATTCGTATATTCGTATAGCCGGGAATTCGAAAATTCGAAAATTCGTGTATTGGTATATTCGTATTCGTATATTCGTATTCGTAGTCGTATTCGTATTCTGTGACATTTGGTCTGCTTTTGCTCTGCTTTTGCTTTGCATTTGCTCAGCATTTGCTCTGCGTTTGCTCAGCATTTGCTCTGCGTTCGCACTGCACTTGCTCTGCATTTGCTCTGCATGTGCTCTGCACCTGCTCTGCATTTGCTCTTCATTGTCTCTGCATTTACTCTGCATTCGCTCTGCACTTGCTCTGCATTTGCTTTGCACTTGCTCTGCAGTTTCTCTTCAACTAAGTAAAAAACGTTAAATGAATTAAATCGAATAAATCAATTGAATCAGTTAAATTAATTAAACTAGTCAAAACAAGTTAAACAATTTCAGTTGACATTCGTGTCGAAAGTTAGTGTGAGTGCTGAAGCCTTGCGATCGCTTGTTATATCTAGCAGCCTTTCAGCATCAAATGAGCTTATGCAATAAGTGTCGCCAGGGATCTCGTGCTGAGGGCGACACTTGGTGCTGGGGGTGTCGAGGTCTGGAGGCAGGGCAAGTGGAGCTGAGCAAGAGGTGGAACAACCCCGGCGCTCGTAACCTGGCCGAAGAGATCCTGCTCTCGGCCGTGCGCCAGGTGAGGAGCCTTGGAAGTTTGGGTCCCACCCTGCTTGGTCCGCCTGACCGCTCTGATTTAGATTTGCAAGCTGAGCCTTCCCGTGCCGCTCGTCCGCCGGCGGTTTCTCCGATCTCTCGTGCCTGTCCTTCGGGAAAGGCTGAGAGGAAGGAGTCTCACGCCGCGGAGGTAGCGGCTGGAAAGGCTCGTGCTAGCAAAACCTCGGCAACCCCAGCACCAGTGGACGACGAGTATACTTACGAGACCGATAGTGAGGAGGAAGTTGTGAAGAAGGAGAGAGAAGGATTTGAGGCTACTACTACGCCAAAAGCAGGTTCACCTGTGTTGCCTGGTGGTGTGTCCACCAGGGTTCTTGATCCTCACCGCGACGATCGAAACCACAGGAGTCCAGAGCGAAAGGATAAGAAAAGGAAGAAGGACAAGAAGTGTCACCGTGCTGGCCGCAAACACCAGAGAATCGGTGAGAAGCCTGAGGGGGCCTTGGTTCACAGGAGTTTGGGGCGTGAGGAGCTTCGCTTCAGAGAAAGGAGTGATTTCAGTGCCCAGAGGCGGCATCAATGACGGAAGCTATCAGTGCACCGTATGGAGAGGAGGACGAAGAGGAGGAGCGATTGGAAGACACAGGTGTGGGTTTGATGTACTCCACGGAGCAAATGGAAAGCTGGGTGAGCTTCATGCCCGAAGCAGGAAGTGTTGTGGTGGGAGCTCTTCCGGCAATGGGCGAAGGGCCCACGGCTTACGGGGCCTTTGGGATTCTAGAGGCCGTAGGCGAGCGGCTCTATGTTGCAAAGTACTTCGGGACCAACGACCATGGGACAGAAGGGAGACACAAAGGTTTGGGCAAGATGTTCAACACAAGGTCAGGGAAACTCCACTTCTGTCTGCAAGGGTGTGCGCAATGCGAGGTCCATCAATCAGAGGACGTGCTCCACGTGGACAGTCTGACATGGTGGCCTCCCCTCTTTTACCAGGGGGACCTTTGCACATTGCACGGGAAGAAGGCTTTGAAGGACTTCAACGCGAAATTCGAGGAACCGGAGCCGCTACAAGCGTCGGGGCCGCACGCCCAGGAGGATTCTCCCAGGCAGCGGGGAGCGCCCGGAAGGAAGGATGGGCTTCCCGGGCAGTTCTTCGAAGGGCTTGCAGGCCTGGCAGCGCGTGCCGGAGTGGGGGGCAAGCCTCCACCCTCAATTCTTCGGCCAAAGGTGACTTGGGCAGACATGAAGAAGCAAGCGCCAAGCAGGGAAGCGCCGGCTCTGACTTCCGGTCAGCCCACAGCTCACCCTGGAGCACAAAGGATGAAGGAGGAGATTGTGGAGATCGGGAGCGAGTCCGGCAAAAGTGGGAGTCCTGCGCGCGGGAGCCATGGCTCCAAACCCAGGTCGCTGGCAGACAGAGTGATCGCACGTTCAGTTGCCAGCCAAGCGACAAAGCGGAGGACGAAGAAGAAAAAGAAAAAAGGAAAGAAGAAGGCCAGGAAACGAGGAAAAGGAAGCAGCAGGACCACGAGCTCAGAGGAGAGCTCGGGGTCAAAAGGCGGGTCAAGCTCGGAAAAGGAGCTTATGCCTCCGGTCAAAAGGAAGGCCGAGAAGAAACCGGGTGCAGTGATGGAGGAGCTTGTGGAGCACGCCAGGGCCCAACTTTCGGAACGCGAACGAGGAGAAGGCCGAGAATCTCTGGGGAGCGGTCCCAAGGGAGAAGTGAAGATGAGTCTCTTCTTCCAACTTTTTTGGAGGTCGAAGTTCGAACATCGGCCCCGGGATCAACGAGAACTTTTTCTTCTTTCGCGGTGTGCCGACCTGCTCAGGGATGGGCACCTGAACGAGCTGGCCGACGCCATTGCTGGTCGCATAATGGCCCTAGAAGTCGCAGCGTCCACAGGGAGTTGGAACACGGCGAAGTATCTAGAGGTCGAGACGATGGACAGTGGGAGCATTGCAAGGCCAGAGACCCTCCTGGCGGCTCAACGGCATGCTCGACTGGTGGCAAAGTCGGAAAGTTCATGGAAGCGTGGCGACGGAAATTGGTGGAGAGACGGAAAAGGAGTGGAAAACCACGATGGAAAGGGCCAGGAAGGAGGAGGATGGCAAAGTTGGGGAAAAGGAAAGGCAAAAGGAAAATGGAAAGGAAAGCCGTGGAAAGGAAGCGAGAAAGGGAAGGAGAAGGAGAAGGAGACCGCCGAGACGGCGAAAGGCGCAAAGGTGAAGTGAATGCAAGTGGTGACGAGGAGTGCCGTGCCGCTGGCCTCGCTCGCACCGGCTGTGGGTCGCGCGCGTGCCGCCCCGTTGGGCTGGCTGCGGGCTTCCACGGGCCCGGGGCGAGTGAGGCCGCTGGCTGGCCCCCCTCAGTCACCAGCTTTGCTGAACTCGGCCCATGGCTCGCATGGGGGATCCTAAATGATCACTTCTCTGTACAGGGTGTGAGCCTGAAGTTTTTGTTTCGAGACGGTCGCAGTCCTCAGGAGGGCAGGTCAAAACACCTGCCGCTCCTCCCCCTGCGAGTCTCTGAGACCAGTACAGTTTGGTCGCTTAAGTCACGGCCCTTCGAGGGTTTGAGTTTTTGTAACGAGCTCTCTTTGGACGCATGGTTCTTTTGCATTGCGTGCGGAATCAACTGGCTGGCAGGCTTTCATGAGTTAATCGTTTCGCCGTGCCCTTCTAAGAAGGCTGGCAACAGGGTCAATTCTGAGGTTGAGTGCTTGCTTCGAGGTGAGGTTGCAAAGTTGCTGGAGCGAGGATCCTCTGGGTTTGATCGCGTTGACTTGGACTCAATATGGAAAGAGCTGGACAAAGCTGTTCTAAGCTACACGGGTGAAGAGATCCTGCCCCTCAGGCCATTGACGGTGGAACAGATGGAGCCAGCTCTCCCACCCGCTGGAGCCGGTGGGCGGGTTAACGCCCTTGATCTGGTCGATGGTGGAACCAAGCGGTTCCTGAGCGATCCTCGGCTATCTATGTTGCAGAGTTCCGAGATTGAGCCCGGTCCGTGCAGAGCAAAGGTGCATGTCTCGGCTGGGGCTGGGGCCGCCGTGGCGAGATTGCTTGTTGAGAGAGGGGTCTGCAAACCTATGAAGCTGAGTGATGTTGGATGTGTTGCAAATGAGCGAATCCTGAATGGTCTTTTTGGCGTCCCGAAGCCAAAGACATTGGAAGACGGGAGGCCAGTATTGAGAACAATAATAAATCTGATTCCGTCGAATCGGGTTCAAAAGATCATCGGAGGTCACATTGAGAGTCTTCCTGCTATCGCAAAATGGCAGTCAATCATTCTGGGAGAAGGTGAAACGCTTACTGCTTTTCAGTGCGACATGGCATGCGCATTTTATCTTTTTTCCCTGCCTGATGTGTGGCTGCCTTGGTTTTGTCTCAATTTTGATCTCTCGGGTCACGAACTGGGGATTGAGTCTGACGAGCGCTTCACGATTGCTTGCTGCACTTTGCCAATGGGGTGGAAATCAGCTGTGGGGGTAATGCAGTGCATTAGCCGGCGAGTTCTTCTCGAATCGCGTTTGCCGGAGTCGCACGAGATACGTAAAGATCGCTCTGTCCCTCCATGGCTGATTAAATGCTGGCGCGAGGGAGGTCAGCACTCTTGGTGGCAAGTTTACCTTGACAATTTCATTTCTTGCCAGGTTGAGAGTCCTTCAAGCTCTCAATCAGGCAAAGATGGGGCAAAGCATTTCCGTGCCGCGCTTGATGGCTGGGATAGTTTCGGCATTCTGTGTGCCAGTGACAAGAATGTTGAGTTCGCTGGCGTTGCCCATGAGCTTGGAGCTGAGATTGATGGAGACCTTGGCAAGCTTAGTGGCGGAACCGCTAGGCTGTGGAAAACTTGCGTTGCCTCGCTTGGACAGGTTTTGCTCGGGAAGGTCGTGAAAGAGAAAAGACTGCAAGTCCTTGCCGGACGATGGGCTTTTCTTCTACAGTTTCGAAGGCCTTGTTTGCGATATTTTCAGAGATCTGGAAAGCAGCATCTGTTAACTGCCCGCTGGCTGTCAAGCGACGTGCTAGCGTAGAGCTGTTCATGGCTGTTCTCCTCAGCCCGCTGTGCTGCTGCGACCTCTCGCGCCAGGTCCATCCTGTGGTTGTGGCCACTGACGCATCCGAAAAGGGTGGGGCCATTTGTGTCTCCACAGGACTTTCCTGGTCCGGCAAGTCACTGGCTTGTGCGTGGAGTGAACCTTCTAATCATTGCAGCATCCAGCCTTTGTTGGTAATTTCGCTCTTTAACGGCATTGGAGGAGCCTTTCGGGCATACGACCTTGCGGGCGTCCGTGCCTCAGGTCTGGTCTCGATCGAATGGCACAAACCGGCAAACCGTGTCGTGAAGCGTGCCTGGCCCCACGCACTGCAGTATGAAGACGTCAGTGACGTGGACAGAAGCATGGTCAGAGAATGGGTCGGCCGCTTTCCTTCAGTCAAAGAAGTTCACGTTTGGGGAGGATTTCCCTGCGTGCATTTGTCTTCAGCACGGCATGGCAGGAAGAATCTTGCCGGCGAAGGCTCGAACCTGTTTTTCAAGCTGTACGAGGTCATTGGCTTGGTCGCAGAAGAGTTTGATGGGATTGCTAAAGTCAAGTGGGTCGTTGAAAACGTCTCATCCATGGATGTCGCAGCGCGAGATGAAATCAGCACTTGGCTTGGTGTCGCCCCATTAAGGCTGGACCCCGCAGATGTGCTCTGTTATAGCAGGCCGCGTTTCGCTTGGATCTCTGAGTGGCCACATGAAACCGAAGGGGCATCTTTCGTGAAGAGAAAAGGGTTTGTTGAGGTATGTATGACAGCCTCGGAACCACCCCAGTCACAGTGGGCCCGGCTCGGGTGGCATCGTGTTGAGCCCTCGTCAAAGCTCCCCACCTTCATGAAGTCGATTCCGCGCGCAGAGCCCCCGCCAGCACCTGCTGGGCTTGGGCGGACTCCGCAGGATGCGCTCGAGAGATGGGCAGCAGATTGCTACCGGTTTCCCCCCTACCAGTACAAGGAAGCATTTCTGTTGTCAGACGGTGACAATCTTCGTTACCCCGATGCTGGTGAAAGAGAAATCCTCATGGGATATGGAGCAAGACATACGGCGTTTTGCCTGCCCGCTTCAGAGGCAAAGAAATCAGCCCGAGCAGTCGAAGATGAAAGACTAAGCCTCGTTGGAGACAGTTTCAGTGTGCTGTCCTTTGGCTGGGTGGCAGGCCAATTGTGCCGCGCCTTTCGGCCCGAGCTCGGCGCCCAAGAGCTACTCAATGTGCTCGGCTTGGCTCCAGGGCACTGCGCCCGTCCAGGCACATTTGCTCCAATGGGGCGCTGGAAGGACTACGGTAGCAGTTCTCTGAACCTCTCAGCACTTGGAGAAGAAGTGATTGCGTCCAAATTGTGTCTGGGTGCCAATCATACTGGGTCAGATGTCCGCATCAGCACTGGCGAGTTGTTTGCGCCCTCGAAGGGTGTGCGACAAAGTGTGGATGCCGTTTGGTGGACCTGGAAACAAGTCTATCAAAAGAGATGGAAGTTCGCGCACCACATCAATGCCCAAGAGATGCGAGCACTGCTTCTTTCCTTGCAATGGCGCGCCAGCAGGCCGGGACACTTAGGAAAGCGACTGGTTCATCTTGTTGACAGTTTCGTCACTCTCTCAATTGTCTGCAAAGGCCGGACGTCCTCGCGCATGCTTCTCTCTTTAACTCGTCAAATTTCGGCTCATGTCTTGGCCATGCATGTCTCTCTGCTTATGGGTCACGTTGACAGCGCCGAAAACCCTGCTGACGAGGGCAGCAGGGCGTGACAACCATGGCCCCGAGACCCAGCAACTCGTCGCGTGCTGCCGCGCGTCGTGGCATTTCGCTTTGGCAAGCAGCTGTCAGGCCCCAAACGCTTGAAAGGTACCGCAGAGCGGTCCGGCTGCTTTGGCCTTTTGTGCAGTTTGTTCACACTTTTTCCGAGCTAGATGCATGTGCCGCAGACTGGGTGGAGCTGATGTGGGGCCGAGGTTTGCCCCTAGGAACCATCGGTGATGCCCTCTCCGGTCTTCAGTGTTTGTGGCCTCAATGTCGAAGACAACTTCATCTTTCTTGGAGACTTTTCAGAACATGGCGAAGATTAGAACCGCCCTGCCGCGCACCCCCGCTCCCGGCCGAGGTGGCCTCGGCCTTTCTTGCTTGGTGTGTCTTCACCAACCAACTTGAGCTAGGGGTGCTGGTAGGTTTAGGCTTCCATTGTCTTTTGCGCACAGGTGAGCTTCTTTCGTTAAAACTTGAAGATGTACAGTTAGGCGCCGCGCGGGCCGTGCTTAATCTCCGGCTGACTAAAACCAGTCGCCGTGCTGGCGCTTTTGAAGCTGTCACCGTCTCTGACGCAGCAGTGGTGGAGGCCCTTCGGACTCTTGTGTCCATCCGAGCTGCGCAGGGCCTGCCAGGTGTGATCTGGATGCATAGCGCCCAACGCTTCCGCACTTCTTTCCGCCACATGTGCAGTTGTTTTCACCTTCAGAATCTCAATTTCCAGCCGTACTCCCTCAGACGAGGTGGAGGCACTTTTTTGCTGCAGCACGGAGTAGCTCTGGAGCAGATCCTCCTTCGAGGCCGCTGGCAGTCTCTCGCTGCCGCGCGGGTCTACCTCCAGGATGGCTTGGCCAACCTCACCGACATCCGCTTGTCCACTGCCTCCAAAGAGTTGCTTTCGCGCTTTAATTCCCACTTTACAGCTTCGCCGTGAATGGGGACGTGGAAGGGGCCCAGTTGCCTCTTCCCCAGCATAAGACTTGTAGCCCCAACATGTGACTGGCGCAGAGTTTTTGGAGTGGATCTCTACACTGCATGCCTCTTGCAGTTGTGGATTGTTCCCATGACCTGCCGTTGGTCAGTGGAAGACTTGAGTTTGATCCCTCCTGTTATGGATGAGCCAGTCCTGGGGGGGGCGAAAGTGGAAGCAGAGCCTTCCAGATTGAAAGCCCTAGAGACTGCGACGCGACAAAAGGCTGAGATGCACGAGCACTTGACATTCGTGTCGAAAGTTAGTGTGAGTGCTGAAGCCTTGCGATCGCTTGTTATATCTAGCAGCCTTTCAGCATCCCGCCCTCACCGCCCCAACATGTGACTGGCGCAGAGTTTTTGGAGTGGATCTCTACACTGCATGCCTCTTGCAGTTGTGGATTGTTCCCATGACCTGCCGTTGGTCAGTGGAAGACTTGAGTTTGATCCCTCCTGTTATGGATGAGCCAGTCCTGGGGGGGGCGAAAGTGGAAGGAGAGCCTTCCAGATTGAAAGCCCTAGAGACTGCGACGCGACAAAAGGCTGAGATGCACGAGCACTAATTAAAGTAACTAAGTTAATTACATTGATTAAATTATCTAGATCAATATGCAAATGCGAGAGCAAATGCGAATGCGAACGAAAATGTGAATAGGAGCCCACATGCAAATGCAAATGTCATTCCTGACATGAAAGCAAATTTTTCATACGAGCCCAAACGTGAGTGCAAATGCGACTGCGAGCGCAAATGCATCGAGAAGCTGGTTTTACCGTACCAACGCGTCTACTGGCGCTTTTAACAGCAGACGTGCGCACCGGTGGCTGGGTGGTGAGGCACAGGCGAAGGGATACCAGACCCAAGAAACCCTGCGCCAGGTTGACTACAAGGCAGTGAGCTGAAGCGCTTGCAGAGAAAGCGCTAGCCAGACTAACTGGTTAGCCTTAGCCTGTAAAAATGGGAAGCCGCCTGACTCACATCTCGCTATCTTCGGACTTGCAGAACTCCATGAACCCATGAACTCTGCAATGTGGCTAAAAGGGCCAAAAAGGGCCCATGTGTTTCAAGCTATTCAGACGCGTGTGAACGATTGATCGATTAGTTGCATTCCTCCCCGACCCTAAACTCCAAATAGTTGCGAATTGGATCTCTGACACAACGTACAAGTCTTGAGGGAAGTGCGTTCAAAGGTGAACTTGCGGAACAGTCATTTGCACTATCCGACTCAGCGCCACAAACGAGCGATTCACAAAGGACTCTCTCTCGGTGCGCAGCATCTTTGCTCCCAAGCTGTACACCTGTCGCATCATAGCTGTTCTGCCTTCGCTCCGCGAAATGCCCAAATCAATGGCAGCAGCGTTGCAGGAGCGGCAGCCCAAGACTCCCAAAACAAGCAAGAGCAGCAAATGTGCTTCTTGAACTAAGGAAGCTGATGCAAGCATGGAAGGAGCTCTGGGACTACGTGCGCAGAGCGCTTCCAGGACCCGCGTTCGCGTGCCTGCAACTTATCACTAAAGCATCCACACGTACATGTGCACGATCCCCAAGGACCTCCGAATGCCCTGTTGGTCTGCCGCGATGCTCGCCTCAAAAAGCTAAACATGGATCAGAGGAAGTTTCGGCAACTCCGAAAGTTCTTTGTCGTCGAAGGGCTCAGGCGGAACGCTTGCCTCAGTTCGAGCACGTTGCGTTGCCACGCTCCCTTTCAGGCAAGCGGGGACCCAAAGCTACCTCCACAACCCCATGGTGAGCACCGGACTCAGAGCGAGGCAGTGGACAGCTGCAACAGAGAGACTTTCCACAGAGAACCCGGCTCCGGAATCTTCCGACCTGAGCGGTTCAGTCATGCTCAGTGGAGAATCCCTCTTGCAAAAGCACGAGATTCTCAACCCCCAATCCCAAACCTCAAGGCGTTTAACCCATAAACAAACCCCAACTTCCTAAACAGCAAACCCTAAAGCCCCCCTAAACCCTAAAGCCCCCCTAAACCCTAAACCCTAAACCCTAAACCCTAAACCCTAAACCCTAAACCCTAAACCCTAAACCCTAAACCCTAAACCCTAAACCCTAAACCCTAAACCCTAAACCCTAAACCCTAAACCCTAAACCCTAAAAGCCCTAAAAGCCCTAAGCCCTAAGCCCTAAGCCCTAAGCCCTAAGCCCTAAGCCCTAAGCCCTAAGCCCTAAGCCCTAAGCCCTAAACCTAATCCCTAAACCCTGCACCCGAAACCCTCAACCCTAAACCCCAAACCCTAAACCCTAAACCCGCAACCCTAAACTCCTAAACCCTAAACCCTAAACCCTAAACCCTAAACCCTAAGCCCTAAACCCTAAACCCTAAACCCTAAACCCTAAACCCTAAGCCTAAGCCCCTAAGCCCTGGAGGTGGAGCATTCTCCAGCCCCAGTGCCAGACCCCACGCCGACGCCAGCGGCGGTGTGGCTCGGATGTTTCACTTGAGGTATTTTCGGCCTTGAGGTTGCCCTTAGATTCGACTATAAGGGCCCCCAAAAACAAAGAATCATTATCCCTATACTGCCCGTATAAGGAAGAACATTTTTCATTTTTTCGGGGGTTCGCAAGCAATTGGTCGAATTCCGCACTCTGGGTAGAAGGCTCGGACTTAACAAACAGAAGGGTTCAGGGCAACTTGTCTCCCCAACACCTCATGAAAGGTCATTGAGGATCGAGGCACCTCAGGAAGCACTCACCTTACCCATCCCAGGTCTGCTTAAGCTTGCTAAGCACTTTTAGGATGCATAGTTTTCTTGGCTTCAGGGCTTCCTATAAGCCTCAACTGCCCCTTCGGCGCCCGAAGCAAACAGATCCCAGCCACCTTTCCCAGACCCGCGCGGCAGCCAGTGCCGGATCCGGTGCCTGAGCCGGCGCCCGTAGCGGCTGCAACGCGGGCACGCTGACTCAAATTTAGGTTCGGTCACCAGTTCTATGTTGAAATTCATTTGGGACCCTCTTGGGTTTGCAATTGGTCCCTTCGCCCTCGTTCAAACATCTTCGTGGAGCCCTTTCACAAAGCTTCCCGGACTGAATCATTGTTTCCTTGTCTCTTTGCCCCCAAAACACACGTACACGCACGTGTTCTGCACCTTTTCTCTGCTCCTCCAGGCCCCGCTCACAATCATAGCGTGCTTCTTGCGCATATGTCTGGGCGCCAGCCTTTCTCCGGACCCATACCCTTCCTTGTAACCTAAACCTAAACCCTAAACCTTAAGCCCTACACCCTAAACCCTAAACCCTAAACCCTAAACCCTAAACCAGGCCCCCACCCCGGATCATGCGGCGCCCGTGCCTGTGGTCGTCGCCGCGCGGGTCCCTCCTGCGGCGGCGCCGGACTCTCGACTTGGGAAACTCATGGGAGCATCGTTTGGGACTGAACTGCCCTGTGGGCCCGAAGCACTATCCACCCCCCTAACCTCAAGGCCCTAAAATCTGAAGCCCTAAACCCAAATTCTCTACGAATCATGCTCACGACAATGGCAATCCTGACAGTACCAAGCCTGAAGCCCACGGTTCGCAGAAGAGTTCTCCCAAAGTTCGTGCAGAAGACATTTTGGCCAGACCTCCACCGACGTGCTCAGTGATCCAAGCTAGAACGCACCCTAAACCCAAAGCCCTAAGCCACGTCAGGACGAAAACCCAACATAAACCCATCGCCTCAGGACCAGGAGCCCGGCCGTATGGCTGTGAAGCGACCCATAGTCGTGCCGCCGCTCGCAAAGCCCCAGGCGCGGGCATCTGATGCGTTCGCGCGCCTGCGCGTTCGTGCGTGGGTTGATCGGTGGGTGGGCGGGTGAGTGGGTGGGTGGCTGGGTTGGTGGGTGGTTGGTGTGTGTGTGTGTGTGTGTGTGTGTGTGTGTGTGTGTGTGTGTGTGTGTGTGAGATACTTTGAGGACATTTGAATGGAATTCAGGGTGTGGGGTTCGCTGGAGAGTACTGGAGAGTGGTGCAGTGAATGTAGGCACTACTGTTTAACTTCAAGAGGGCTATACTGGAGGAACAAACAGCGAAGGTAGTTGTATAGAGTGCGTGATCTCAATGCTAAGGTTCGTTTCGTCCCCGAGGTGATACACAATCCCATAAACCCCAAACCCCAAACCCCAAACCCCAAACCCTAAAGCCCTAAGCACAGTTTTGCATTTGGGGGCTGAGGGGTGGTTGGGTCGGAGCTTACCAGTTCGTGGACATGGAGCTCAAGGGCCAGGGTTCAATTGTGTTCCTGGTTCTAGTGGGTTCTAACAGTAGGAGACGCGGAGTCATGTGAAGGGACGATTTGGCGGATTGGGGCTTAGGGCTCAATTAGGGTTTCAGGGTTTAGGGTTCAGGGTTCAGGGTTTAGGGTTTAGGGTTTAGGGTTTAGGGTTTAGGGTTTAGGGTTTAGGGTTTAGAGTTTAGGGTTTAGGGTTCAGGGTTGCGACGTTTCTTTCCGTGTTGGGTCTCCTTACCTGTGTGACGGGAGGTTGATGTCGAGAGTCTTCAGCTGCAGGATGTTCAGGGAAGGAGACCATGCTTCTTCTGCATGTACATTCCTAGATCAGTGTTAGGGATCCTTTTTACTTTTTGGGTTATGGGCTTTCTTATATATGAACAAAAAAGGATCCTGTTTTCTTCCTAGGGGAACAGGGATTAAGATTCGTTGGGGTGCCCCGCACCATGCGCGCCTCATTTAGAGAAGTCGGTCCCAGTGTGCTACACCGTCATATTCCAAACCATAAGCCCGTAGACCCAAAACCCCCAAACTCTTAGACCCTAAGCCGAAAGCGAAAGCCGCCGCAACACAAAAGACTCTCAAGCCATAAGCCCCTACATCCCCAGAGACGCCGCAGACTCCGAGACCCCTTAGTGCATGAACATTCCTGAAAGTACAACAGAATCCAAATTGTCAGAATATTCCAACCCTAAAAGGGGTAGCTCTCCAAATTAGGGTCCATTTGTGGGGGTCCTTGTTATAA